TTTTTTTAGGTAAAGATATCTTGTTGGGCAATTGGCAGTGAAATCACTTCTAAAGGGATCATGTCAAAAGTCACATGCAAACAAAAGAGAATTCAGCTCCAATTCTGAGCCATAAACAATGGCTTATCATTTATCAGCCGTGTTTGGAAATCTTAACACTAAAACGGGGTTTTGCTGCTGTTTTGCACTCTCAGGGGTGAGATTCTGTGCCAACACACCCAATGCAAGTCTCCACAGATCTCTGTAGAGGTCACAGAACCCACAAGGACTTCTCATTTTAAGGAAACATGTAAAAATGCAGAATGTGCCAAGCAGCAGACTTCCTTGCCCTTTTGGAAAGCATCCAGCCACTCAAGGCACTGGTTTATGCTACGTGGTATAGCTGAAACAAACATTTACTGTTTATCTAGCAAATGAGACAACCGCCTATGACCTCCCTCTGCTGCTCTAATGTATAGCTACACACACTTCAGTACTTGCATACTGGTATTACCGCTAACATAGAACACAAACAGCAAAAGAACTAAGCCATCCTATCAGCAACAAGAATCTCTTCTGTATCTGAGGTCTCTTCATTCTTGTGAGTTAAAAACACAGAGCAATAAATATCATAAAGACAGAACTAAGGGCAAGAAATGCCCATTTACATTTAATGGGACTTCACAGATTTCCTTGATCTGACCACAGTGATGTAGTGTGTGAATGATGTCATTTTACTGATCTAAAAGGAGTTTCTTTTTTATCAGAAGCAAGCCATCATAAGCTCTGAAATCACCAAATCGCATCATTATTTACCAGGAAAATTTTATTCTAAAAGTCTGAGTTTATTCTTTCAAGCATAGTTAACACATATGTAGTCACAGCACTTCAAATTTTGCTTGGAGCATAAATACAAAGTTAGAGTACTGAAGAAGAGTTTTATGCATCCTTAAAATTTATGGCTTATACATCCCTAAAATTTATGGTTTATGCATCCTTAAAATTTAATAATCAGGAAGTGTTCCCATGTATGAAGATTAGGTACTTATTTCCTCTGCAAGCTGATGGTCATGGCTTTTCTGATCACAAACTGTGTACTTTCATTTTCACTCTTTCTGGTTTTATTCACCTCTCTATTGCTAAACAATTAAGTTGCAGAAACTGTTAATATTATGTTAAAAAATTCATCCTATTTCACGGCTTTTTTTCCAGTCTTGTTCAAGTATTTTCATGGGAAAACATGGATGGAAACATTTAGTAAAACAAAAGACATACAAAATATCAGAAGTAGAACATTTGCAGATAATCTTCAAAACTAATTGCCATATGAATTAAAGAACTGAAACCACCAACACACTGCAGGTTCTAAGATTTTTTTCTTGCAAATATAGAAACATTTGTGTTGCTTTAAAAGATGCATGTGCATGAAGCATTTCTCAATAAAAAGCATCAAAATCATGCCCAAAAGGTCATTCTGAGCTCTCTTATATGCATGGTATCATCTGCTACATGAAATTAGGTAAGCTAGGAGGATAAGCAGTTTCCTTTAATGGGAAAAGATGGCAATTTCTCCAACAAATAGCTCTGTATGATGGTAGTACCGCTCAGAGAGAGGAAAAAATTGAGGGGAATAATACTGCAGAATCAACATCTTCTCCAGCCCCTATGGGAAAGAGCTGTCCTTTACATCACTTGTTCTGACTGGATTTGTGAAGTGCAGTATACGTCCATGTCAAGGATAGATTTATTTATTTGATTTCTCCAAGATTTAGGTACCAGGTTCATTAAGATTATGATTTGCATACCTTCACTCAGTATTACTGTCTTTGTTTATTCTTTGAAGGGCACTTACTATACTGCAAATGCAGGGTAACATGCACTATATGCAGATTATAGCTATAAATAGATATGCTGTTGCTTGGTTTTTCTTTAAAGTTCCAAGAAGCTACTTAAAAGCATCAACATTGTACTGCAAAAATATGTCTAATGAATTATTGTGTAAAATGTGTGTTTACCTAAAGTATGACAATAATGCTGTATATTCACATGTAAAACAAGAGGCTTTTCAGCAGGTTATTAGTAAACATCATGCAATGATAACAGCAGGTGTACTCCTCCTCTGACCCTAAATTTTATTATGTTTATGGTCTCTTATCCCTACAGATCTCTAGATATGACCTGAAAATAAGAGTGCTCCCTCCAGGTAAATAATGGCACAATCTATTTAGACAATGGTAAAAAATCTTGCTTTTTCTTACTTCAGGAATTCTGAGTTAACTAGACTTGGCTGATTTAAATATCTGGATTACCATTTGGAAGTAGAATGTCATGACATCTCAATGTAGCTGTTCTGGAAAAGGAACTGCAGGATGCACCATAACCATCTTCCTCAGGAAAAATAATTAAATGTAATTGTCTGAAACCATATCTTCACACTGTTGTTTTTAATAAATGGAATCATATCAAATTTAAACTAGGGTCTCAAAAGTCACATAAATCAGAGATCATGCTAATGTCTTGTGGCGTTCCAAGATAAAACTTATGTCTTTATGTTTTGCTGATTCTTTTCATAATGTTTTTAAACTTAACCATTTTCTTTTCAGAAAACCATTTTCTTTTCTTTTTCCCCAGCTGAGAGAACTTGGGGGGGGGGGTATTCAGCCTGGAGAAGAGAAGGCTCAGGGGAGACCTTATCACTCTCTCTGCAACTATCTAAAAGCAGGTTGTAGTGAGGTGGGGGTCAGTCTCTTCTCCCAAGTAACAAGCAATAGGACAAGAGGCCTCAAGCTGCACCAGGGGAGATTTAGATTGGATATTAGGAAAAACTTCTTCACAGAAAGGGTGATCAGGTATTGGAACAGGATGCTCAGGGAAAAGGTGGAGTCACCATCCCTGGAAGCATTCAAAAACACGTAGATGAGGCCCTTATTGACATGGTTTAGTGGTGGACTTAGAAGTCCTGGGATAATGGTTGGACTTGATGATCTTAAAGGTCTTTTCCAACCTAGCTGATTCTATGATTCTATGACTCTATGTAGTACCTTTTTTTGTCATGACTTACTGGAGCCTTATTTGGAGTAGATTATCCATTCAATACCTTAATGCATTATACAATGGATCTCCATCAACTCTAGGAATTTTGGTCTTTCAAAACGCTGAGATATAAAGTGTTGAAATACAGCTAAGTATAATAAAATTATTCTTTAGTTTGAATTTGCATAAACATGGTAAGTTTAAATGTGTGACTAGAACTATGGTATAGAGTCAGATTCTCAGTCCCAGAAATGCCTGTTTGCATCTTTCAATCAACAAATAGGGTTTCTGCTAAAAAATGCTGGAAGGTAAGCAAGACACAGGACAAGATCCATTAGAACAAGATGGTACAGAGAAAACAAGCTAAAGAAAAATTAACCAGCAAACGGTCATAATAAAACATACGTAGGAGCTAATCCTTCTCCCACTAAAGGCAGTGGCAGTTCTACAGTTAGGTGCAATTGCACACATCACTGTGATAAGGTACACAGAAATAATATTTAAAGAAGGGAATGTGACCAATTCAGTGTTTTATGTCAAAACACTCATATACTAGGGATATTAGGACCCCCCAAATGAAATTGGCTTTTAGTTCACGACTCATTCACAAACCACTCTTGATTTGTGTCAACACATTCCTATTGTATGTCTTTAATAACTGACTCAGCTAAATGATTTTTAGTCACTGTTTTGTTCATGAAATGCTCATTTTGATTAATCATTATTTGTGGGATGTTATTGGTCATAGAGTGCATTTTCTGCTTCTTGATTAGATAACAAGCTTTAACAAAAGATAATGAGTTACAACCAACAAATAATGAACAATGAGCAATGAACAATGCATTTCAGGTACAAATTTGGAGAATACTGGTAATTCACAGACACTTTTTCATATTGTGAATACTGCCCCACAAATGTTTGGAAACATTTGTCATGGTGGCAAGAGTAACAACAAATCTAAGATCATCGATTACTGACTATGTTGTAAATGTATTTGTTGTATCATTCCACCAACTCTAACTCTATATACATAAGATACATAAACTTAATGCAACCTATTTAATAGATGCACAGGAGTTCAAACTGAGAAGCGATTCTAAATAAACTCCTCAGTGCCATTCTCAATTGGTTCTTTTTCCATCTAAAATCTTCCACAATTATTCTTTTTTAGACTAAATAAAAAATCTACCTCCACCTGAAAATAAAACCAGATACCAGATTTTTAAAATTACATAAAACAGGTTAGTTTTTAACAACTGGTTGCAGCTCCTGGATTGACTTTACTCTTCTCAGATTATATTGGTGACATTCCGGTGTGTTCGTGATAAATACAGAATGAAAGGCTCTCTTTGCTACAGTAGTTAACTTCTTACAAAATCTAATTAAGCCTTTATACTCCCTATTAACAATGTTCCTTTAATAAGCACTAAATTAGGCATTTATACCAGATATTATCAGGAAACCAAGCACAGAAGGTCAGGACTTTTATGACTTCTTGTTACATTTGAGTTACAGAGGCTACATTAAATTAGTCTTTCCCTGGTTTTTAATCCTTGATGGGGTATTTTGAGTTAAGACTGAAATAAGAGTAGGGTTAACTTCCACTAAATACAAGCTAGCTTAAGCATTGTGCTCCCTTATAGGAGAAACAAGTAGAAGAAATACAAAACTTGTTGTAGTTTCATGAAACCCATCAGCAAGCAGTGAAATTCTTTCTGTTTCTAAGCAGTCATCATGTAAGATGCTATAAATACTGTCTCTAGCTATGTTTTCTGGAGTTTCTGTGTTTGGTTTTATTTCGGGGGGAGTTTTATTATTTCTATTTTACACCATGGAGGCTATTCTGAAATCTATTGATTACAAGACAAAAAAACATTAAGGCATGCAGATAGAATCTCACATTGGAGCTGCAGCGTTCACTTATTTAGGAGCTGAATTTGGATAGCTCTATTGCAGGAATCAAGTCAGAATTTAAAACAAACCCTTAGAGTGGCTATGCTTTCTATGCTGGTCTTTGTTCAGTCAGGTAGATTTCATTCCTGCTCTTCACTTTCTCTGATGTTTAAAATGGCTCCTAGGAGGATAAATCAGTTTCTCTTTTCATACAGAAAGTTAACACAAACACTAGATAACTTGCAGAGACTTCAAAGGAAAATGATAAAAATGCTTTGCAGATATAAAAAAAACCTAAAAATCCTCAGCAGTCTTCATCCTCTCTGCATTTCCTCAACTCTACAATGAACAGACATGCTTAAGAAATTTTGGCTGAAAAAGGCCTACTGAATTTTCAGAAAGCATTTTGTGTTCAATTCAGTGCTAGAGAAAATGAGCATGGACGTTTTTCTAATCTTAGGATCAAAGTGAGTATCCAACTGTTTCTGAAATTTAACCCTGGAATTTAATGAATATAAATACAACTGGTGGCATACTCTGGTTTTGAAAGCAAAATTGAATGGGCTTTTCTTTATCTAATTTAAAAATCATTATTTCTTGCATATATATATATATGTATGTATAATATATATATGCATATATAGATATGGCATAATCATGCTTCTCCCAGACAAGGAGATTGAAAATCTAACATGACCTATTCTTTCTGTGTTTAACCAAAGCACCTGCCTCATTATAGAATTTATTATTCAGTTTCTTAGACATACTTCCATATCATGGCAAACAATTTTTATTTATCAGCAAGGTGCATTTAACAGTATATTTCTGAAGTGGTGAAAGATGTTTATGCTGCTCAGCCAGCATAAAGCACTCAATTCTTAGGATGAGCCAATACAAAGAACTGACTATAATTTTTTTTAAACTCAATATGTGACTTAGGTTAACCTTTAGATAAAATTTTAAAGTTTCTGTGGCTAGCAGGAGCAAAGAAATTTAGAAAGCAACGTGGGACACCTAATGTAGCTCTTCAGTACCTTGAAATATCCATGGTTTTGGATCCATGTTACAGTGTGAGGGCCATCCATGTCTGCATGAAGGCTATTTTCTCCCCATATACAGAAGATTTCTTCTCTGAATTTTTCTTATGGCCAAGGACCTGTAGATGGGGACAACGTAGAACCTGACATTTCTTTATCCTTACGTCTTTCAGTAATGCTGAAATTGCAAAATATGTTTATTTTTCCTTGTTTTCATTTTCTGAAATATGCTCCTCTTTTCTCAGCCCTTCACACAGAACCAATCACTCAACAGGAACAGAAATGTCTAAGAAGGAGCCCTGAGAAAGCATAATCCACCATTTTTTTCCTTCAGTCTGCAGGAAGATGCTCTTTGGCAAACTCTGGTAGCAGACAAGAGAAGTCTGTGGCTATGTCTGTGTGTTATTTATGCAAAAACTTGCTGCTGAATAGCTGCAAAATATATAAATCATAACTATTTGTAAAGGTCTGCCTCATGTCCCACATGGAAGGGAAGGTGCAAATTGCTCAGATGGAGGAGCTCTCTGCTGTAAAATGCTTTGCAAAGATGAGATGTAGAAGAAAGCTGATATAGCTGTAACTCACACACGTTTGTTTCCGAAAAGCCAAAGGACAAAACCAGTGAAAAAGCAACCCCACTGTGATTTTTGCTACTGCAAGGGAAGACCAGTGAGCAGCCCAGCCATTGGGCTTTCATTGTGAGTTTTGCTGCCTACAGATGTGAGGAAAATCCACTCTCTAGCCCTTGATTTTCTGCCTTCTCTCTCCAATCACTTGCTAATTTTTGCCTCATTTTTAGATTTTAATTATCCAATGCAGAAGACTTATTATGCCTCATTTTATTAAATTAATAATTAAATTAAGGTGTGATCCTTACATCTGCAAATGAAGTGTGTTCTATGGTACATATATAACTTGCATTATCTGCAACGGTCATTACCTACTTAACCATCTCACAGCTTGATGGAAACTAGGTTTCAGAACACCACAGTAAGCTCCTCCAAATTTCTGGTTTGCAGTGACACAAGGACCCTTGGAGGTTTAACCACTCATGGAATAGTTTTTGCCATGGCCTTGTGTGACACAAAGAAACCTGTGAATGAAGAGGAGGAACTAATTTCAGCTGCTTTGTTTCTCTTTCATTAGCTTTCCTTGTATGTATTTGTAAATGCATGCACATGTATTTACATGCATACCTCTGATCATACATATATGTGTATTCATGCATGGATATATTAGTGTTTATATTTATATTTACTTAACCCCCGATATTATATATTCATAATCATTGTGACCATTTAGGCTAATTCCAAAAAGCTTTCACTGAGATTCTGGTTTCTCAACTCCTAATGATATATTCATGCATAACTGAGCATGTAAATCAATGACTCACATTTAAATACGTATTTCTTCCCATGGTCTTTCAAACAGTAATTATTTTTTTTTAAAACTTGATATAAATATTATCTTCTTGCACTACCTTGGTTGGCAGTGTGTACTGAACTTACTGAATATAAGTCATGTTGGCAGTATTGAGTTAATTTATTTTAGACATTACAGAGTCCTGGGCCTGACAAATATTTGAGCTAGAGGCCATGTAGCAATTTCAGATACTATAGGCTCAAGGCAAATAATTAGAGAAAAATACTAGATTGAGGAAACAGAGTTGAAAAGCTCTATTTGAGCGATAGTGGATGAAGAAAAAGCAAACAAGAGGCTGAACTGCTGTGAGGTCTTATTAAGAAAGCTGGTATGTATAGACTGTCTGCCCCTGGCTAAATGGTGGGATCAGGGAACAACTCCCAGCTCACAGGCCCTGTTCTGTACTTTACATATATCCCAGCTCTAGATTCAGATGAGTCTAATTCGTACACTTTTCTCCCTGTCTTGATCTTCTGTAGGAGAAAAACTGAAAACCAGCCAACAAAAATGTAGAGCAAAAAACCTGAAAACTCTAGCTTGGTCCCCACTGGTGCCAAGTTGCACCAGCCATGCACCATACTGTTACTTTACATTCCTATATTGCTTGAGGGAGTTGCTTTATACACTGAGAGCTCCACAATTGAAGAATTTATCTGAAATTTACATAGCGACACCCTTCCCTTTGCATGGTAGCTATCTGTTTCCCGGTGTTATATTTAAAAAAACCAAACTTATGCTTTCCACAGCAAATACATGTCTCTAGCTGTCCCCCTTTCCTTTTTTTGAGAAATAGGTTAGTGTAATATGTATTTACCATTCCAAGAATGAGATTAAGGAAAAGTATGCTGTTATGTCTATTTTCACAGCCATATTGTGAGAAATGTTAATATTTCCATTTTTTTGCTGTAAAATTGAAACACCTAGCAAGAAAACAATCTCATGTAAAAATGTACTTTTTGCAGATCTGCTAAAAAGATCCAGCAAAACTTCAAACTTGGTCAAATTACATGACTTTGAAAAGCATATCTTAGGGTGCCTTTAGAGGTCCATTTTCTGAAGATTTTCCCTTTAATAAGGTTTGGTGTAACTGTGGAAAAACTACATCTGATCCCCACTATATATGCTTCATCACCACAAGCCATCAGAAATTTGAAGTTTGAAATCTGGAAGAGTAAGGCTGGGACTGTCAAAGTGGGCAAGAAGCTTGTGGCATACAGAATCATAGATTCATGGAATAATAGAACAGTTTGGGTTGAAAGGGACCTGCCGTGGTTTAAGCCCAGCCATCAACCCAGAACCACGCAGCCACTCGCTCACTCCCCCACCTTCCTCCCCCTGCTCCCGGAGTGATGGGGAGAATCAAAGGAATGTAACTCCCATGGGTTGAGATAAGAACAGTTTAGTAACTAAGGTATAACACAAATCAATACTGCTACCATCAATAATAATAATGATAAGGGAAATAACAAGGGAAGAGAATACAAACACTCACCACCCGCTGACTGATACCCAACCAGAACAGAGCAGTAACCTCACCCTTCTGGGTAACTGCCCCCAGTTTATATACTGGGCATAACATGCTGTAGTATGGAATATCTCTTTGGATAGTTTGGGTCAGGTGTCCTGTCTCCGCTTCCTCCCGGCTTCCCCTCCTCCCTGCCAGAGCATGAGACTCAGAAAGTCCTTGGTCAGAGTAAACATTACTGAACAACATCTAAAAACATCGGTGTTATCAGCGCTGTTCCTAGGCTGAAAGTCAAAACCACAGCACTGCACCAGCTACTAAGAAGGAGAAAAATGACTGCTACTGCTGAATCCAGGACAGGATCTTAAAGGTCATCTAATTCAAGCCCACCCCTGGATCTTAACCTAGATCAGGTTGCTAGACCTCCTTCCAGCCTGGCCTTTAAATGTTTTCAGGGGTGGGGCATCTACTGCCTCAGGAGATGATAGTGTAGATCAGTAAATAAAGTATTCAGTTCTAACCAAGCTTAGCCCATTAATTGACAGATGGTGTCAAGTTCTTGAGTCTTCATACCTTACTTTGCACACACTCAGTGTTCCTGGAATGTATATTAAGGATTGCATCTGGGCTTTGCTGGTGATAAAGTCTTCAGTTGAAAGAAAAGTTATAGTATCTCAGTGTGGTTGAATAAGTGGACTTACTCAACTTATGCGGAATTAACTTTTAGCAATAAAACACTGCCATATTATTATGAAATCAAAATGCAATTACACAGAATCATCCTGTCCTCCATACGTATGTTGCATCATGTAAGATTTAAGGCCATAGAAAACCTAGTGAAATTAAATTCTAAGTGCTTTTTCAACTCTCATCAAAGACAGAAAATGGTATTGGGGTTTGGCCAATGAATTTTTGCTATTCAGTCTTTGACCAACAAATCATAAAATAATTCTTTCGTGGCTGTGTTGATGTTTCTTGAAGCTACAGCTCACTGAAAAATATATGTTAATTCTTAAACTTCATGAAAAATTCCTTCTGAAATTTCAGACATTTCCAACATGATGTAATCTGTTCACTGGCAACAATTGCACAAAGACAGACAAAGTGTACCATGGGCATTTTTGTGCTGTGCTGAAATAACAAACAAGGTATGTGACTTGCTATACTGAATATGAGCTTCCAGTAAGTGTTGTTAATAGGTCAGTAAAGCCTCTGTGGTATTGTGGTATCAACAAGAATTCGAGGGGTAAAATGCATGAGATAATATCAGTCTGTCATGTTTTTCACACTCTTGGGTGAAAAAAGTCCTGGACTACTTGTGCCCCAAGAGCAGGAGTTATCAGCATTCTGCTTCTCACCTCCAAGGTTAGGATTAATTTCCTTTTTTTCAATACTTTTACCTAAGAAGAATGAACTAAATAAATGGAATAGACAGACAAAGTATTTTATGAATAAATTAAGAAGTCTCTCCCTCCTGTCATTGTCACCCCTTGAAATGACAGATTAGCTGCTGATCTGAAATCTATCAAATGAATTCTTGAGCTAACGCCCTCCTGCCCTCCCCAGAGAAACGCCTAGCTAAATAAAAAGCAACTATAAAAAGATCTTTCCCACAGAAGGCTAAAGATGCTGAACCTTGGAGCTGCACGTCTCACTCCACCACACAGACTCAAACCTTACATAGGTATTTTCTGCTAGGAGCAGTAATACTTCTCCTTTCAGAAAAGCAGGATTTGCAAATCCTGACAGATTCCACAGACCTCCTTATTAGTTGACATTCACTAAGTTTTAACTAAGATCTAAATCTATGCTGTTTATTCACACAGAATGTGCCTTTGGTCTTTATTGCTAATTAGTTCGCTTTACAAAGTCATCTGCCTAATGTTTTAAGTTGTTTTACAAACAGGAGGTTCAAAGTTGAGGCTGCCTCTTTATCTTCAGTGTACCTAGCTAGGTATACATGTTGTGGCACATATGGAATGTAGCATCGTTCATTGATCTAACACGCTCAAAATGTGTAGACACCAGGGAACAAATTAAGGGCAAAATCCTCCTCTCAGATCTGTTGTGCATGGATCAGAGATAAGCAGTACAAATTAGAGCTTTTCTCAGCTGCAATGCACCAATGTTCCTTCATGAGTTCCCTTCTAGGCTTCAAAAAGCGGTTGCACCAGTTGTGCAATAACATCCTCTTTGGGCCAGGCAAATCTCCAAGGGTGTGTGGTCTGGCCAAATAGAAAAGACCATTTTATCTTTCAGGCCTTTGCTCCCATTAAGCATTTGCACATACACACTTCACTGAACATGAGATCGAATCAATACATGCAGGCCTGCTCAGGAATGAAACATGAGCACTCAATAAAATAAATAAATAAATATATACATATGTCTACAGTCCCCAGCCTGATGAAGAATTCAAATTGCCTCAGAGTGGTTTTACAGGTTTATACCTAAAGCTTGTTTAAATTTCCTTTAATTCCCTGTGTTGTGTGCTTATTGCAAATTACTTTTACTCTAATTAAAATAAAATATTAGTCAAGGTTGCTGTGTTTATCCTTCATCAATACAGCCAGGAGAAAGCCAGTGCATGGGTTAATGATGGATTTTCAACTCACTTTAATGTTCACAGTGACTGTGAATTTAGATTTTCATGTGATTAAAAGGAAGGTTGTAGTGTATGCTGAAGTACATGTGAAGCACGTCTGCTCTTGGTCTCAGTGTTATACCATAGTTTGCTGGTCACTGAGGTAGTTTCTTGTCAGGCTATTGCTGCCTCGGAGCCAGTAGACAGTGGCTACACTTAGTGAGACAAATGCTGTGAGATTTGTTCCTATGGTACATGTAATGCTTGTTTGTGTCAGCCAGAATTTTGTTTCTCATGTATGGGAGGGGGGAAGAAATTTTGTGTTTTGTCTTTGAAATAAGATGCTCTGAAACAGCTGAATATATTGAATGCATTCCAGATATGGCATCAGCGACTGATACACTGTTAGATAGGTGTTCACAGTGTTTATGCTCTAGTAATCTGCTCCTGGTAAAAGATCCATCATTTCAGTGCTCTGAGGCATCTGGGCTTCAAGCTCTGGGAGGGATTTGGGACTCCTGTCTTGGAAATGGGTTTGATCGATATAGTGCCTAGGATGTGGGAATAGCAACTGCTCCAGTTTCTAAAGAAAATTCTCCAGCTCCTGTGAATATTAAGAATA